GTCACAATCAGCACTGTTGGCCACTCACCCTGTCCTCTTCCTCTCTGAGGTCTGGCATCGTGCTGATACATAAACTGACAACAGTCACGGCAACCATGATCACCGACAGGCAGGCAAAGATCTTCCCAGGTAAGCCTGACTGTGGGTTTTCTACCATATCTCTTAGCCAGTTCATCACTTTTGTGTATTGTGTTTCCTCCACTGTCTCCCGCTGCATGGCGTTTTTCTGCCTGCGCTCCTGCCGACGCCTCTCTTTCTCGTGCACTTCCTCGATGCGTGTGTACATCTTCCTCTTGCAGCAGCGCTCCATGTACGCCATCTCCACGCCCCAGTAGGTCAGCTCATCGTGCAGGGAGAGGATGCACATCTCTCGTAGCAGTCGGAGTTTCCCTGCAGCCAAGAAGTTGAGGATAACCCTAAAGGCGGATGGTGAGCGGTCGAAGAAGAACTCCTTGCGGGCTTCATCGTAGTCGTCACAGATGCTGGCGATGTCCTCAGGTGACCTGCAGCCACAGAGGCGGCCAAGTCGTGTGAGGGGAAATTGCTCCAGTGTGCTCCAGGGGAAGGTGTAGCGGTTTCCCCCGACATTGATCACTGCCAAGGAAGCATGGTCGATGGACAAGAGGTCCTCTGGCCGACGGATGAACTGAGCTCTTTGGTAGTACACACCCTATAGCACGAAGAATGAAACGGTGATCATTATTATACGATTTGAGAACTTGTTTAATATGAAACTTCCCTAACCGTTAAATTTACCAGCAATGGTGTTCATACCTTGATAGTCTCAGTCTCTGGGATCTCAGTGAATATGTGGTCGAGACTGCTGTCATCACTGACGGACAGATTGCTGAAGTCATGGTTGGCATTGCTGATGATGGGCATGGCAGCATTCACAGAGCACTGTGCTTCGATTGGAGAGTGGACAGCTCAGACCAGATAGCAAATACAGAGAGAGTCTGCAGACAGTGCCCTCTGAAAAACTTTTCAGTCTCAATAAACATCAGTTTTTCTGATTTACAGATCTGAAAAAGTTTCCCTGCTACCGTAGGAAAACAGAAGAAAGAAAAGGTGCAGTGCTGTTTTTCTTTTTTTGGTCCCCCAACCAACAGAGCGTCATGAGGTAAGAGGTCCGCAGCAGACTGAGTCTGTGTACCAGACTTCAACATCAAATCAGAGGGTAATCCTGTTCTGAAGCCAGTCTAGCAAAGGCAAGCCTGAATAAGAGGACTGATCACTGGCTGATAGCTGCAGAGAATGAGCTGCATGAGGTAAGGAGCCACATTTGCAGTGCTGGGGTGTTTGGGGAACTGAGGAAGATCCTCTGTGTCACCACAACAGGATTAGGGAGGGTCTAAACCCGTGGTGGCATCATGCAGGCAACTGAAAGAGAGACAGAGAGAGAGAACTGTTAGAACGAAGCAAGGATGGACTGAGATTAAGGCATATACGACAACACAGAGTAAGAATAGGAAAGACTGAGAACAGACCCAAGACTGAGAACCCTAAAGGAGACTGCAGTGCTAGAAGCTCCTCCCTCCTCTTTCACTTCTTTTCAATGAGAAAGAAGACAGTCACATTTGCTGTACTGCTATAAATGGCCCGTTGCTGAATGCATAGGCGAGGAATTTTTTGCTCATGTTCACATTGAGAGAAAAATGATCTGTTAAAAATGAAAGACTAACAGAAGAAAAGAACATTCAGGTTCATGGTATGATTCACACTCAGAGTACGTTACTGGCCGTGTGCTTCAGTGTCTGTTGCACAGCGCAAGGTCCAAAATGTTTGCCGTTGGCAAAACAACTTCCCTGAAACTTACTGGCACTGTTAGCTGTTAAAGTTGCCCAGAATGGTGAGTTGTGTCAGAGCTTTAAAGAGTTATAGTTAATACTCTGATTTCAATGTGAGCCCTCTTATTGTGTTATTTGACATTTAATTGAATTCAACAAACACTCAGACAATCCTCTGTAGTTTGTTTTTGTATCCTGTTACTAACAATACAGCTGCCTTATATTTGGCTGTCCTCCACTTTTCTCTTGGCAGCTTTTGGTGTGAATAAAATGCTACAGTGACATTTCTTCAAATGTCCCAACAGTTTAGATAATCCTAATTTAAATTTCACAGTTTTCTACCCAGGACCACCAACACTAACACTGCAGTATTGTCATTGTTCTGCTTAGTATTCATGTAAAGTACATACAGGCTTATTGAATGTGTGAATGACACTTGGACGAACTGGATCGTACCCAAGTGCTTCGGTGCTTCTGATGCAGGAGGATAAGATCCTGTTATTGAGGAACCAATAAATCAGTTCTGTCAAGGTGCTGGTATTTCATTTCCACCGCACAGGAAGAGGAGAGAATGATAAACTGTAGTTAACTGATCTGTAGTCCTAATGGATGTTCCCTCTTTTTTCCTACTGTAAAGTTAATTGAAGGAAGCGTTTACACTGTTACTATCAGCTACTTTTGGTGCAACAATAGACACAAATCCAATAGGTTAGATGGTCAGTCAGTTAAAATGAAATTCCTATTGTTGTGCATTTTCTTTAGAATTCAGTAAGCGGAGTTTTATTGAACATTGTGACATTTAGGAATCCTCCAATTAACTTATGAAACCGACTAAAAGTTAAAGTTGTATTAAAATGAGAATACGTACAATTCTGTTTTGTTTTTTAGATTCTTGACTCTGGGAGTTTTCTATTAAGTGGCTGTGCTGCATGCAGCATTCATTCAGGGAGCTTATGTTATATTCATAGTCAGTCAACAGTGACTGCGTTTGTCAGGAGCTGCTGGAGAGGCAGGGATGCTTTATGTTCAGCAGGAAAATCTCTCTCTGTCTCTCTCTCCCCAACTTGCAAAAGCACACACTGGGAAACATTTTTACGCCCTTATCTCGAATAGATCTCTAATTAAACTCGGTTAAATCTGTCGCGTAATTACGATCATATAACCAACTCTCGTTTGGAGGATTTTTGCAGAAAAGAAAATAATAATAATAATAATAATAATAATAATAATAATAATAATAATACGACCCCGAAAGTCAAATGTGGTTTGAAGGACATTTTAAAGACCGTAATCTTACAATTGATTCGAAACAACTTCATATTTTGGATACACTTAGTTCCAAATAAAACTCTCAAACACAAAGTGTGATCATTTGTCCTCCTCTGTGTTACAGTGTTGGCGAGATAAAAAGAGACTTGTATTTCATTACAACTTCAGACAAATGTAAAAACTACAAACAAAACCCCTGCAGACGTCGATACAACTTATGAGCACACCTTACCGTCCTCAGCCCCGCGCTCATTTCAGACGGCCGGATCGATTTTGAGTAAAATCCCTCAATGTCGCCTCTCAATTCCTCCGATCATTCAGCGCCACGTCAGGGAGTCAGCGGTCATCACCAGCCACCACATGTCACAATAACAGGGACGCCTTTCCGGCGTCATCCACTCCGATGGAAGGCGCGCAGACAGTCTGAACATACCGTTGATGGGAAGCGAGTAAAGGTTTGGAGCACTGAAAGTGTCCCGTTACAGCTCACGGAGCGGTGCTGCAGGAGGAGGAGGAGGAGGAGGAAGAGCACGGGAGGAGGGAGTCGGCGCTGTGGTGCGCAACAGAGAAGACCGTGGATAGCTTACCCAAGTTCAAGTGTGCGTAAAGGTGACAGCAGGTACACAAGTGACCGGGAAAAGGCGACTGTGTGCAAGTTCCAGAATACACAAAGGGGGCATTTCAGCAGAAATGCGGGCATCGGGTGGCTTTTGTTGTCCGCTACCTTTTACACAGTGTGTAATTCAAGGACACTGAGGAGATGCTATCCTCCATGTTTCCTACCCTGACCGCTTCACGCGCAACAGGGGGCGCGGTTCGCCCCGGAATTACCTTCACCAACACATCTGAACTCGAGCTCCAATTCAGACTCAAATTTTGCAGTCAGCTTGTGTTTTATGTGTAAATAAGACCAAACTAGTGGCTTTAAAGAAAACACAGCAAGACAGAATATTTCACGTTACCTGATTTATCAAAAAACACAAACATCTCTGTGCTGTTCTGATGAGGTGAGCCTGTTTGCGCTGCAAATTGGACGGTCGACGAAGAAGGTGCTGTCAGAGTGAAATTGATTTTTAATAAATATTTTACTTGAACTAATCTTATAATTCAATAACTGATGGTCTTATTGCTTCCTATAGTTTACTGCTGTTTACTACTGGAAGATATGGGTTATGTAAAAAAGAAGAGTCATTGTAGGTTGAACCAGATGTTTGAATTACTATTTAAAGCCACACATAAAAGAGAAAAACTCGCCGGTGGGAAGGACAGTAATAAAGCTTAGTAACACTGAACAGCTGGACAAACTTTGGACTGCGTCACAAGTACATAAATAGATGTGAGAGTTTAAAACTGCCTTTGAAAAGTGTAACTGTTCCAACAAAACTCATGCAGTATAATTCAGACAAGGTGAGAGTTCAGAGAATAAAATATCATCAGGCTTGTTTGCATCTCCAGCCTCAAACTTTGTCCTTGAGAAGCAGCTCATTGGGTTGTGTGTGCCTGAGGGAGCTGCTAAAACAAGCAAACACTTTGGCCAGTCCTTTATGCCATCTAACAGAGCAGACAACACATTAGTGAGGCAAGAGATGGAAACTGATGAGGTAGGCAGGTGGTGCTCTGTGTGTGTGAGAGAGACATTCAGCTTATTTAATCCCTCCATCACTACTCATTAACCTACAGCACAGGAGGGCTGGTTAGTGTATGCAACATGACACTGATCACACATGCTGGGCTAATAGTTCTGTGTTTTCTGTTTTGGTTGTTTTTATTCCTGCACAGCTGAACAGATTAGACACCGCACTGTGACTGTAATGCAATATAACCTTTTAATGCTGTGTGTCACTTTCTTTTGCTTTATCACACACGTGAAGACAGAGAGAGAGAATCACTCGCACACCCACATGGACACATGGAGGGTTTTCAGTCTCAATTTTAGCACAGGTGGTAGACAGGGGACACCCAAGCCTCTAACATTAAACCAGCTAACATCTTTATCTGCTGCACTACCCCCTTGTATCAACTCATTCTTCCCTCAGGTCACTGTTATTTTTTTAATCTCTCACACACACACACCTGCAGCTGTCCACCATCCGTCTCACAAACGCCGCAGTGCTAACGCAGACATGCACACATGCATGAGAAAACACAATGAATACCACAGCCCTGCTGGTACTAATAGCAAGCTTCAGTCTGGCGGATTAAGACTTTAATCCCTCACAGGCAAGCAGGGTTGAGATGAGATCGCTGCAGCCAGCATCCAGGGGTCTGATCAGCAACGGCATGAGGTGCGTGCAGGAGAGAAGCAATGAGTCACTGGGCTATTTCAAAAATAAATAAATAAATGTTTGAACAGATGCTTTCACACTGATGGCTACCTGGAGGTCCCACACGATGGAGTTGTCAAACTTTTCCACCCTAAAAGCTGTCTCTGTTCTCTGTCTCTGCTCTGATTTTACAGTCTTTCTTCTCTTTCTTCTCTCGGTGATTCTCCAACCAACTTCCCCCGCTGATATTTGTTTGATCTCAGTTCTACCGAGTTTTGATCAGGTTAATTGAAGGTGGGAAAAGACAGAATGCCTCTATGCACACAGGATAAAGACCAGTGAGGGGGGGCTAAGAGAACTGAGTAAAAATAGTCTCAAAATGATTAAATAAAGGAGAAGCATGAAGGAAGCCATTTGGTGGAGATGTCATCTGAATTTCAGGAGCGGGACCACTCCTCCTCCACGCCCCCTCTGGCCTCAGCCTATAAATCGCAACCTCGCGTTACGATTTGGCGGCAGCGTATTCTGTCAGTACATTATTCAGTTCGCTTCTCAGGCAGCTGCTCGCCTTCGGCAATTT